TACCATCAAGAGAACGGTCAATACGCTTAAAAAAGAGGGAACAGTAGTGAGAAAATTTTGTTCAGGAGGTCGTAGCTGCAAGAGGGATCATCATTTCAGCTTAAAGCTAAATACATTCTTTTTGTCCAAAGTAGAGTCCAATAGTATTATAAAAAAAAACTCAGTTTATTCTAGTATGGTATCTTTACTCATTTCTAAGTTACAACAGTTCAAAGCTTAATCTAACAATTGGACACTTTTAGCTGTTACATGATTTTTTTCCCACTTTTTCAGATATAACGTTTAGCCATCTTGACACAATTTGTCGTGTCACTGAAAAGCTCTTTGAGTTATTCAGCTAGAAAAAAAAACAAGCTAAAATCTTTTTTCTTTCAGACCCATGATCTTTTCAACTGAACAATGGTGAGAGGAAAAAGATCATTCATGCCTTCAGTAATGGTACCAACATTCATACTCTGGCTTTCATCTTCAAAGTCTATTCAAGAACCATCAAGATAACGGTGAATAAGCTTAAAAAAGAGGGAACAGTAGAGAGGAAAACTGGATCTGGAGGTCACAACAGGAAGGAGGATAATCATTTCATCTTAGTGCTAAAGAATAATGCTTCAATAGAACAACATTAAGTAAATATCACCAAGCAGTCAATGGAGAACTCGGAGAAAAATTATTACAACAAATAGATTTTTGAAGGAAAAAAATATTACCAGAAATAGAATTTTGACAAAACAACATATTACCAGCAATAAAAATGTTGTCGGCATTAAATAACACATTGAGGTTGATATACCGTAAAATAAAACAAAACAGACCAAACTAAACAGCAAAATTGTTCATTTGTTAGATTAGGCTCTTAAAGATATCTTACTGGAACTTTACTGGGTTTTTATAACAATATTGGATTTTATATTGAACACTAAGAATGTATAATTAATTTCCAAGCCTAACAAAAGAATCGGGATGTAACCGATCATAAATGAACATTACATGTTCATAATTGATTAATGAGAGCTAAGGATCAGAAGCTCATAAAGGATTCTAATAAAGTTCAAATGTATATATATATATATTATTCCATTATCACTTTCCAACTTATTCAAGATAATCTTCGCCCTCTCTAACCTTCCAGCTTCCTGTCCTGAAGTAGCAAGCTGCCACACATGTTTCATGTACGATTTCATTTTCAAGTCTTTTTTCACTACACTTTGAACTGTCATAACTGAAATTGCTCTCTTATTGTTAGGTACCTATTCTATTGTAATGGACTCTCCCATAGATAATAAGTAGGAGTAGCAGTGGCAAGTCTGGCAGAATGGTGTCTCGCGGTCTTTGACTGCGCACGCCTCCTGTCGAACTCTCTGCGTTAGCAGAGAGGAACCCGGACGAGGCTTTGCCGAAGGGCAAGGTTTCGTCCGGGGAGGTAGACAGGGCCTGAACCCGTCTAATCGGCTTCAAAATAAAACCGGCCTTGTGCCATATTCGTTTCCCGTGGGTGAAATGATAAATACCGAATGGTGTTGAGCGCGTCAGTCGAGATTCGGACATTTGAAGTACCAACCATCACAACTAGATTTGCTGCGTCATTGACTCTTATTTTCCAAGTTCCTAACGTTTTGTACGTCGGACCTAATTTAGGACGACTTATTAGAAATACAAGCCTCCACTGTGAAAATACTCCACAACATTCTGGCGACGAGGATTCGAAACTCACATGGGAAAAAAACGTTTCGTTCGCCTAACCACAACACTTATATGCCGAACGTTTTATGGACTTGGTTGGATTCTTTTCTAATTAATTAAATAATGTCTTAGTTTGATTGCAATTTTTTACTATTCGGAGCAGATTTTCGGTAAATATGTAAGTTTTTGAAAAAATGATAATTTACATTCTCCCAGGAGCCCTGCTTTTAATTAATATAGCATAAATTTAATTTCTCTAAATTTCATTAAGAAAGTGGGGTGTCAGATATAAATGTACTCAAATACGAGCATCCACTAAAAATAACGCATAAGTACTAAAATTTGTCGGATTAATAAATAAAAATCCATTCCTTTCTTTAGGAATTACTTTGTTTACATTAGGATTCGAAACTGAGAAGATATATTTATTTCGAGACTTAGAGAAAAATCTGTGTTTAAAGACACTATTCAGCTACTGCTCGCCCATTGACAAACTCTGCAGCCGAGAGGTCAAAACACGCCAAATCTTATTATGGTTTCCCTTGGAAGAACGCAGGTTCGAATCCTGCCGGAGAGCGCATATTTTTTTAATAATAGTTCTGGAATATTCAAGCCGGTATACGAAAATGAATAAATATATTGATTAATAAATAAACAGAGTGTCTATTCAAATACGAGTATCCATTAAAAATAACGTTTAAGCTTTAAAAATATACTTGTATACTTAACACCTCTCGAGTCATAACTCCGTAAGGGACCATTTAAACGCACGTGGGGACCTAGCAAACTCCATGAAGTGTGTTGGAGAGAGTAGGCATTCGTATCTGACGCAGATAGTTCTCTAGAAGAACCACAGTTGGTTACTCAGGAGACCTGCACAGATGACATGGGCATGGAGTGCCTGTATGACTTATATGAGGCCCTCTTCTATTTTGAATCATTTGGGGACATGCCAGGTCACCATGCCATATCCGATCAAATGCTTTCTTGAAATCAATGGAATTGTGGAAGAGGTCCCTCTGGTTCTACAGATGTTTCTCGATGAGGACCTTACAGTTTAAGATTTCTCCCTCTGTTTTTCGTCCGGCTCTAAAACCCGCACGCCCTTCTGGCAGTAGTTCTTCAGTCTTGAATTCCAGACAGTTGGGTATAATACGGAGAATGACAATGCTTGGGTCGCAGATCAGGTTTATTATTCTATCATTCTTTGCTTAAGATTACCCAGCTTTGGTTGGGGTATTCACCAGTGACTGGGTTCACTTTATTTTGGTCACTTATTCTGTTTTCAAATCCGCTGGTGTAGAGCTGTTCACCGCCATTTTTCACCAGTTCAGAGGGTACATTTTCCACTCAAGGTGGCTTGCTAGGTTTCAAACGCCTTAATGCTGCCTCTACATCCTCCTTCAGTATTGTCAGACTGACCGCTCCTTCTGTCGGGTACTAGTCGGCTTGCAGTAAATGGAATGGAGCTCGTAATTGTGCAGGCCAACGCAGGATTCTATCTATCTATCTATCTATCTATCTATCTATCTATCTATCTCGTTCTGTTCATTATCTATCTATCTATCTATCTGTCTGTCTCATTCTGTTCTCATCTATCTATCTCCTATCTATGTTTGCTGAGGGGTTACTAAAAAGTGCCGACCCCGAATGAATAAAAAAAAACAAAACAAAAAAAACACAAATCCCTGATTTCCTATATATCTAACTTTATTCCTATCTATCTATCTATCTATCTATCTATCTATCTATCTTTCCATCTATCTATCTATCTTACTCTGTTCCTATATATCTTACTCTATTCCTATCTATCTATCTATCTTACTATGTACATCTCTATCTATCTATCTTACTCTGTTCCTATATATCTTACTCTATTCCATCTATCTATCTATCTATCTATCTCTGTTCTATATATCTTACTCTATTCTACATCATCTATCTATCTATCTTACTTTGTATCCTATTTATATCTTACTCTATTCCATCTATCTATCTATCTATCTATCTTATCTATATATATTATCTATCCATCTATCTATCTATCTCTGTTCCTATATATCTTACTCTATTCCTATCTATCTATCTATCTATCTATCTTACTTTGTATCTATCTATTTATCTTTCTTACTGTGTTCCTATCTATCTATCTATCTATCTATCTTACTCTGTTCCTATATATCTTACTCTATTCCCTATATATATATATATATATATATATATATATATATATATATATATATATATATATATATGTATATCTTACTCTTTTCCCATCTATCTATCTATCTTACTCTGTTCCCATATATCTTAATCTATTCCTATCTATCTATCTATCTATCTATCTATCTATCTATCTCTGTATATATATATATATATATATATTACACTTTTCCAATCTATATATCTATCTATCTCATTCAGGGCTGCAAACGTCGGTTGATGATTTCAGGGTCCTTCAGTTTCTCAAGATCAACGCTGATGTGGAGGCTTATGAGGTAACGATTAGTTTTCAGTTTCAGCTTCAAGGATGTCATCATATTGTCATGGTCTCTGCCGATGTCAGTACCAAGAATTGTTCTTGTTCTCTCCCATTTGACACTGGACTTGAAGCGTTGCGGAATCAGAATTAAGTCATCATCGTGTTGCAGACTTGCCTGTTAAGTGAGTCGCAGCTTGTAGTTCAAGACAGCTTATGGAGGTGTAGAGTGCTGGCAAAGGCAAGAGAGTGGCTTCTGTCAGACTCAGGCAGACTGAAGTCCCTGTCGTTGATCGCTCCGATGCTAAATTCCCTACCTGTTCCTGCTCAGTTCTTTGGAATTCCAATGCCTTTGTACAATGGTGATGTTTTTCTTGGGGACTTCCGCAATTGTGGATTCTATAAATTCATAAAACTTATCGACTTTCTCATCATCGTGGTTTGAAGCATAAAACTGGATGATGGTTATATGTAGTTCGGTTCATACCCGGATGGAGATGATATGGCCGGAGATGGGAATGCAGCTGATGGCAGATGACACTTCCTGCAATCTCTTTCTTGACAATGGGTGCCACCATATACTGATGTTTTTCTCCTCTCTATAGAACCAGATTTTGCGACCATTCTCTACTGACGTTTCACTGATGCCAGGTCTGACGTCGGACAGCCCAATGATGTGCCAGCGACAGCGTTACAATTCGTAAGTAAGGTTTTGAATTCTGCCGAAGGCGTAGAGTGTGCGAGCTTTCCAGGTTCTTAAACCCTGCGTTGGTAGCTTGATGATCTTTATCGCTCCAGTCGCCCACTATTCACGCCCATTTGTCGATCCGATCCTTCACCGCTCCGGTATAGCGTTATTTTTTTTCTTCTTCCTTATGATAGGCTTCCAGATTGCTCCGCGGCAATCATTTCTCTTAAGCTCCTGGCCGACAGCCTAAGCCCATGGAATATGGTGTGAGACGCCTTCGGAACGGATGCTAGGCCGGGGAGTTCATCTGGACACCTCTCCGCCTTGGCCATTGACTGCCTCTACGGCTCTTCTGCTCAGTAGTGCAATACAAACACTGCCCCTCAAGTGTTTTAACCCGGTTTTCTAAAGCGGTTACCCGTGATATGGCGTGTGTAACCAGCATATAAGAAAATAATAATTAAGACAAAAAACTAAATAAAATACATAAATAAATAGCTATTTACTAATAAATAATGTAATAAATTAATGGAATAATTAATAACAAATAAACAAGTTTGTTATTATTATTATTATTATTATTTCCTTTGATTTCTGTTGTATACACATTTATTTCCGGGTTCAAATTTAAGGTCAGAAATAGCATTGTGACATTGTCCATTCATCATTTTTCTAATAGTAAAAGCCTAAGATCACATACATTTTACATAAAGCCTTTCGTTACGTTTAAACTGTACTTGTGAGTGCAATTTTTGTATGTCTTTAAGGCATGGACTTCCAGGAATCCCTTCATTGAGTCTATTGGAATCTTTTCCAACCAATCCGAGGGCTCCAACTACAACAGGAATTGCTGATATTCACATGTGCCACATTTTTGAGATTTCGATTTTAAGGTTCTGGGCGATTAGCTTTGATTGATAAAAATTAAAAAATAAAGCAAAAACCTAAGATCAAACATATTTTACATATATGAACCTCTATTTCGGCCTTCTTCAGGTGGTTGGAAGTGTTCAATTCGACATTCCAACCACCTGAAGAAGGCCAGAGCGTACTACGGCCGAAACGTTGTGATAAACATGGCGACAAAGATGAGGACAATAGTCCGAATAATGTAAATAGTGTAAATAATACCTCATTTCAGAAATATAGACAGATACTGAAAGGCCGAAACGTTGTAATAAATATGACGACAAAGATGAGAACAATAGTCCAAATAATGTAAATAGTGTACATAACTCCTCATCTCAGAAATATAAACAGATACTGAAGAAGGCTTGACCGTACAACGGCCGAAACGTTGTGATAAATATGGCGACAAAAATGAGGACAATAGTCTGAATAATGTAAATAGTGTACATAATACCTCATCTTAGAAATATAGACAGATATAAGAAGCTGTTCGTAATGTGTTAGTTGTACTTGTGAGTCACAATATTTTCTATTTTTTAAGGCATTGGCTACCAGGAATCTCTTCAATGAGTCTACTGGAACATTTTCGAATCAATCCTAGGGCTCTGTTCTGGGTATGACGATAAACTGCATCCGCGTCCTGGGTAAGACGATAAAATACGCCCAACAGCAAAGCCTCTGTTCAGGACGATTTGAGGAGCGTGGAACCACCTCTAAATTGCAGGTGTTCACCCTGACAAGGGTGGTAGCACCTGTTAGGGCCCCAGCTATGGACAAATAGTTAACCCCCCAAACTGGGGTCAAAAGACTATGAAAGTATAAAAAAAAGTTTTAATAACAGAACTGCATTTTTGTAAAATATTGTTACTAGCAATGAATTTTGGAAGGAAAAAAATAAAAATATTACCAGCAATACATTTTTAAAAAAAATATTATCTGCGATAAAAAATCTTGTTGGCATTAAATGACCTATTGAGGTTGATATACCGTAAAACAAAACAAACCAAACCAAACCTAGGACTCCAACTACAACTAGAAATATTGATGTCCTCATGTGCCACATTTTTGAGAATTCCACTTCAATTATTATTATTATTATTATTATTATTATTATTATTATTATTATTATTATTTCTTTAAGGCATGATCTACTAGAAATCTCTTCAATGAGTCTATTGGAAGCTTTTACAATCAATCTGAGGGCTCCAACTACAACTGGAATTATTGATGTCTTCATGTGCCACATTTTTGAGATTTCCAATTCAAGATTATTGCACGGTGATAGTTTTTTAAAAGATCTTCAAAGATACATTATAATCTGCAGGGACTGCCAAGTCAATAAGAAAGCACATTCTGTTTGTGTGATCTTTGATCAAGATGTCTGGGCGATTGGCTTTGGTTGTTCTGTCTGTGTGTATTGTAAAGTACCATAAAATTGTTACAAGTCCTATGCCAGTAACTGGGTTTGAGTGGTGTTCATACCAATTTCTTGAGTTTTTTGGGGTTTTTTTTTACCGTAAGAGTTGCACATCTATATTTTATTATTTGTGTCATGTTCTTGGTGCAACTGTCGCTGAATTTACTGCTGAATATCATGTGAAGAGTGTTTGATGGAGAAATGTTTGTAAATCTGTTTGAAGAATATCTTACCTACCTCGTCCCTGTAGAGTCCGATATCATTTTCTCGATTATTTTGCTTAGTTTATACAAGTTTGTGCCTATAACCCCCTAACACCATCAAAACTTCCCATTTTAACGTCCAAAGATCCTTCTTCCTTTAGCCGTGCGTTTTCGGCATTTCTTGGTGGTTTTTAATTTACTTTTATTTGTTTCCCGATTTAAGTAATTAAACAAACACATGCTAGATAAGGCGATAATAAGGTTCAGGCAATAACTGAGCAGCAATAAAATAGGAGCTAGACGTGATTTTCCTAAACACGGGAAGTGGAACGAGAACAATTTAAACCCGTAGATTAAATAAACGTTTCAGTTAGAAATTCCATGTAGGTTACTCGAATCAACATACACCTGATGACGGCCGAAACGTGATATCATCAGCAACGATGACGAAGATAGTCTGAATGTAAATATTATGAATAATTAATGTAAAAAAAACTCCAATTAGTGCTATGTTACCATGTAACAAAGTACTACCTGCCTTATGGCCAGTTCGTCGGCAACAAAACCGGCTCCCCCATCAGGCTTTTCTGTTTTAGGAGAAGTGGCTCTGGATCCAGCAGAATTAAAAACAAAACTTGTCAAAAGTCAGATGAACTTTCTTGTAGGGTGATATGTCCCCGAAAAGGGATATATTTGAACGAAGTAGCTAAGGGGTTTTGGCTACTATAACCAAGTAAAATATGGTAGCAGTAATCGACTGGTACGCGTCTTAGTCACTGGTAAGAAGTGTAGACCAATAGAATAGACAGTGGTCAGTTCATTGGGCGTAGTCACAGACTTGATCTCTGTCGTACCTACACGTCCGTCTGTATTTATGACGGACACCAGCCAATCATATTCCAGTGTGGAAACACAGGTGTATGCATATTCCATTATATCATAGGGTTAACAGACTTCT